GGAGTGAGGCTTATAAATGAGAGAATGATAGAGGTATGGCAGCGTAGATGGCATGAGAGTGAAGAAGGGCGAGTGATGTATGAATAAATTACGAATGTTCGATTTGCATGGAAGACGATTAAGTTTGAACCTAGTTTATATGTGTGTTTCTTGATAACTGGGCATGGAAGTATGAATGACTTTTTATGCAAGCGTGGGTTGTGCGAAACTAGGATGTGTGGATGTGGTAGAGCACATGAAGATTGGAAGCATGTTTTAGTTGAGTGTGAATGGTATGATGATCTCCGTAATCTGAATGATTGTGGCGTGAAAGTGTGTGATGATGGGAGTGTGGATGTAAAGACTGTGCTGGAGGATCAGGCAACATATGAATGTTTTAGTGTATTGGCGAAGAATGTGTTTGAGAGAAGAAGAGTGAGAGTGAGTGAAAGAACGAATGTCGCGTAAAGCCTGGTGTCCAGAGGCGCAGGGGGGTACCCTTACAGGCTGAAACGTCGGCTGGATACGGTTCGCCCACTCCACGCACTCGAAGTGCTGGTTCACCAGTACCGGAAGTGTAGGCTTCCAAACTGGTAGTAGTTAACGCTACGAAAGATCCAACCAGTGATCTTGACTGGTACCGCGGGGACCGGGAGCCCCCGAGGAGTGCCTCGGCCCGGTCATGGGTAGGACCATCGCGAGGGCAGTGGTAAGGCCAAATGCTGGTCAGAGGCCCCTTTTTCCAGGGTCTCGGCGGGTAAGCTGCGCATCGTTCAGCTCGCGCACCGTCCTACAGAGACGGTAGAGCGTGGAAAGTCGTTCGGCACCACCGGTTATCTGCTCTTTAGTCCCTGCAGCCTGGGAGTGTATCGGTAGTTCCCGCATTAGCGGGAACGCGCTGATTGGACGTATCCTAATCCCACGCCCATGAGGGCCGCGTGGCCGCACGTTAAATTAACAGAGACGAAATGTTCGTCATCGTCGGATACAGATCAGCTGTGCAGTTTATCATACATTGTACGAGGTCAATGCACTATCCTCCCCCGCACACATTTCTGTGCATGAAGTGGATTTACAACTAAATGGGTGAGTTTCTTATTGATAACACTCTTCATATTTCTCTAACAAACAAATTCTTTACGTCCTTTAACGCGATTATTTGTTACTAAATCAGCTTTGCAAATCGTTTGTTGAATTCTGTTCGGACACGGAATTATTTAAATTAAAATATCATTTACGTACTTTGTTAATCTTCACTGTACGCCTTGCTTAAAAATTTCATATGGTACACACGAGGTGTCATGCACACCAGAAAATTAAAACGTTTGTCACGGTTAAATTACTTATTATTCCGGGTTCGAAAAATTAGAAAATATTCTGTAGACATTCTGAAATAAGGATGAATAGCGTTTTTCTTAAAATTATCACTGTCACGTAGTAAAAAAAAAAATTCGGAAGTTCACACGTTGATTCGAACGCAGTACGGAGCCCCTCTTGTTCTATCACGCTCCACGGTCGAAGCACGTTGTACTCTATCGATCGACCATGTTATAATTCGCGCCCTCGCCTCTCATTGGTCAATGTTTTTCGTTAATAACTCGTAAACAAAGCCGCGGATTGCATTTTCGCAAAGGAAAAAATTACTTAGAATGATCTCAGCTACTCCCAATTTCTGTAATGCGAGACATTTTTGGAACACCCTGTATAAATTAGATATTACTAAATTACTAAAAGATAATATTTTATTAACTGTATTGTCTTTTAGTATTTACTATTTCTATATTTACAAATCAATTATCCAATTTCAGAGAACACGCATTCTGTCTGCCACCGAAGTTGCAATTATACAAAAATATTTCCTGGCAAACTCAGACATGATGCTGTCTTTTTTACATTATCTTTCTAATGGATCAATGTATTTACTTTTCGGTTTTTTAACCACTTTTGTGGTTCTTTTAAATAATATTCTAAGTCTAACTGAATACAGTTTTGTTTCTTCCCGTTATAATGTTATAAGTCTTTTGTTTTGTTTCGTTACCTTATATAAAGGTATTAAACAGGTATCGACACTTTTGTGAGGTATCAAACAGATATTGATACTTTTTATTGAGTACTTTGATATCGAATTGATTGAATATCATCAATGGTATCGGTATCGATCCGATCACTAGCGATGGGGATTATTAAGATGATCTAGATTCCGGCGACATTACAGTTGTCACGTAACTGCACGAGTCGATGCCGCATATCGCTCGATGTAAGTCGCGTGCGTTATTATAATAAGTAGTATGTATATTTATTAAGTGTACAATAAAGGTTATCGACAAAGTAAGGCGAAAATATATCTGTAAACTTATATCCCGAATATATTTCGCTATTTAATGTTATCATTCGAAAGGGGAATGTTCAGTGCAGTGCGTGAATATCAGAATTAATGAGAATTATATAGATATTTGGTAATGTAAGTCTCAGAAAGTAAGCACAAAATTTTTGGTATGGAAGCTATGAAATCAAAGCATTTTTATGCCATGGGATGAGTTTTCTGGTGTTGAAACTGTGATATTCACATACTGCACTGAACCTTCTGCTTTCGAATGGTACCATTAGACAGCGAAAAATATACTGATATAAGGTCGAAAAGTTCGAGCCCGTATCAGTAATACCTTTTTTGGCAATATCGATAATATAGAGTAAAAAATGTGACAAGGTTAGTTACACTTATGCATATAAGGTGGTGCCTAAGTAGGACGACTGTCAACGTAGAATCGAAGGCGGATGCAAGTTTGATTTTTTGGACGCATACGAAAAATAAGCAGTTGCAAGCAGTTGCCTATATTCACATACCGCGATCAGTATAACCATAGCTTCAGCTTCATACATTATTTGCAATTGCGATCAAAGGGCCTAGCCGATTGAGATGGTCAAGATTGGCCTTAGAGGTTTTTTTAATGAGCATTATATACTCATCATAGTTCGATAGATGACCAAGAAAAACTCATCCGTGAAAAGTTTCATCCTTGTAATTTGTCCGTGAGGGTAGTTACAGGGTAAATTAGATTTGGGTGCTTTTCCGCTCATTTCCCCCCTTCGGCAACTTCTTAAAATTTTGAAAAAAATGTAGCTTATTTCGGACATCAAGCCGCATATTATAGAATTTTTTCAGATTTTTCGGTTGCAAACTGTAGTTATCAAAAATGGGAAATAAAAAAAGATCGGAAGATTGAAGATATCTCGAAAACAAAAATACTATGCCACCCTGAAATTAATTCCCTAATAATGTCTAAACTATCACAAGCAGTGTGCTCAATTTTTCTCAGATTTTTCATTCGGTTGGGCCATTGTAAAAAGAAAGAATGAAATACGATCCGAAATACGTTTTTGTTGTGAGGAAGAAAGTTACTACTTGTTGGGTGTATATACCGCAAGTGTGGATTAAGTAATTTTAAAAACGTTATTACATTGAAACAAGCAATTTTTTAATCTAGAAAATGCGATTTAAGAGAAAGAAGAAATTGTGATGTGCACATTGCAAAAAAAAACCTTGGGTAAGTAATAACTCGAACGGGGTATAATACTCATTAAATAACCCTTGAGGGCAATTTTGACCATCTTAATCGACTAGGCCCTTGTTTGTATATTTTAACGAGTAAATAGTATTTGTTTTCATTGGGAGTCCATGAGCATCCTACGTAGGTAATCCCGGGTTAAACAGTGAATAGAAAAAGAAATGTCATATTTATACATTTTTTCGTATTTTATATTAATTTGATCAATAAATCACTTACACCTAACCTTGCAGCATGCTATAATAGTCCAACTTCGTGTAATTTCCTAGTTGTTGTTCTCGTTGAAACATCTGCTCCCAAAGTTTCTGCAATGGTTTCTGGCGCAACTGTTGGATCTTGCCGACATTAGCGAACAGTTCTACGATCTTCTTGCACAACGGTATCCTCGACTGTACATGGAAAATGTAGCAGCTGTAGTGTGTAACCAGACTTTCTACCCCCCGGGTAGAATCATTATCTATTATAAACATCAAACATCAAACTAGAATGACTATATTGATCGAAGAGTCTGAAGACTTAATAGGAGGAAATATTAATAAAACATTTCTGGACAGCGATAGTAATTTTCTAACCTCTCATAATTTGAGGTAAATTGAAACATAAACGTACGCCGGAAACAGGATAGAGTGAATAAATTATGACACCAAGGTGTAGTGGAACTGTACTACAAACAATGCGTGCAGACATTTCGTTGAGCCACCGCCATTCCATCCTGGTGGCCGGCCAGGCGAGGGGGAGCCGCGGTTGTGTTCTGTGAGAGTTCCCGTGGCTCCCCCGCTACTCGCCAGCGCCCTAGGCCGCCGTGGGGGTTTTAGCGGGTCGAACCCCGCACTACCCCCGCCCCGCCCCTTGGGCGGGACGGGGGTGTCTGACCAGCAGATTTCCCCCACGTTAAACAAAAAAAAAAAAAAAAAAAAAAAAAAAGACATTTCGTTGACACTGGCAATGATGGACGGCTTTCGAAAGAACTACGGTCTTTATTCGTCTTTGTTAAGTATGACTGCACTCTGGCCTTACGACCATACCTTAGGAGCAAAGATTCAAAGAATAAGTTTCATTATACTATCATTCAGCCTTGTAGTGATTCAGGTAATAACGACTCGTATTACAGTGAATATTTTCATTTTTAACTTGAAGATCAATCATGTTTACCTCACCGAGATAACATCATGTTTATACATAGAGGAGACGCGACGCTTTTATTTAGAAGGAAAATATACAGGGTGTCCCAGGTTTTAAAGTTCAAACTTTGTTAGTGTATTCTATGGCACAAAGTAAGAAAAAAATGTTATGTAAACATAGGTCATATAGAGCTTTATTAAGAAGTTATAACAAAAATTCAGAATAGGAATAGTAATTAACTTGCTGTTACTGCGAGCATTGGCTTGAATAGATCAGCACATGCCGTGTGTTTATGTAAACTGTGTTTATTAATACATTTCGAAATGTATTAATAACCGTTGTTAACAATGCATGATTGACATCGATCGAAGATTTTTTTATATTTTTTATTTTTTTTTTAGTTGATTACTATTCCTATTCTGAATTTTTGTTATAACTT